ATAAATAACCTTTCTCCCAACAATGGCTAGCCCCTCAAGGTCCTGGAGACCTTGCTTCCAAAATTCCTTAGAGACTAACATCACCCCCTTTGTTCTCACCTACCCAAATCCTGTGTATATAATCAGCCACTCCTCAGGATAGCGGGCAACAGCTCTTCCTGCCCAGGGGTCCTGTCCCCGTGCTTTAATAAACCACCATTTTGCACCAAAGATGTCTCAAGAATTCTTTCTTGGTCATCAGCTCTGGACCTCACCCCACCGAACCTCACCTATGTTCTAGAACTTCATCACAATGAGGAAATTGAGCTAGATATCATCACCTAGAACTAAGAATAGAAAATCATTAAAAAAAAATTACTACAGTATGGAGATTCCGCCAAAAATTAAAAATAGAACGAGCCTATGACCCAGTAATCACACTCCTGGGTATTTACTCAAAGAATATGAAACACTAATTCAAAAGGATTTATGACCCCCTGTTTATTGCAGCATTATCTACAATAGCCAAATTATGGAAGCAACCCAAGAAGATAAAGATGTGGTGTATACATACACAATAGAATGTTACTCAGCCATAAAGAAGAATGAAATCTTGTCATTTGCAACAACAGAGATAGATCTAAAGAGTATAATGCTAAATGAAATAAGCCAGTCAGAAAAAGACAAATACCATGTGATTTCGCTCATTTGTAGAATTAAAATTGAAAATAAATGAACAAAGGGGGAAAAAAGGGAGACAGACCATAAAACAAACTCTTAACTATAAAGAACAAACAGAGGGTTACCAGAGGGGAGGTGGGGGGGGGGCTGGGGGTGGGACAAATAGGTGATGAGGATTAAGAGTAGCTTTATCATGATGAGCACTGAGTAATGTACAAAATTGTTGAATCATGGGATGCCTGGGTGGTTCAGTTGGTTGAGCATCTGCCTTTGGCTCGGGTCATGATCCCAGGGTCATGGGATAGAGTCCCACATTGGGCTCCTTGGTCAGCAGGGAGTCTGCTTCTCCCTCTCCCTCTGTGTGTGCTCTCTCTCTAGCTCTTACTCTCTCTCAAATAAATAAAATCTTTAAAAAAAAATTGTTGAATCACTAGTTCTAGTGATGAGATAGTTGGAAGCTTCCTTGGAGGAATGTCACACTTGTCCCACCCAGGATTTGGGGAGTAGGGGAGGAGTTGCAGGGTGTCAGCTCCTGCTTTGTTCTCAGCTTGCCTTCTACTCCCTCATGAATGGGAGAGATCCAGGAAAATTGGGTAACTTCCCAAAAGGGTCCAAGCCATCACCTTAAACACTGTCTTCTTCAGCTAAAGACAAAAGAAAGATGTTGGGGGGGAGCAGGTGAGGGATAGGCTAGTTATGGGAGGTTTTCAGCAAAGCACAGTAAACACACTGTGCAGATTTAAGTTGCTACCTTCTCTATTGGTAAGATTTTCTAGAACTTTATTCTGCTCTTGTTGCAGAAAATCTGAAGCGGCCGAGGAAACTCAAGCCGCACAAGGGAAAGCAGGGAAAACTTAGCTTTATTATTGCAGGCAGGCCCAGCGGGATCATTTCCCAAAGGCTGAGCACCCAACAGGGTTAAGAGTGAGTTTTTATGGGTATGGGTGATGGGGGATGTTAACGAGGCATTTTCAGGGTCTCTCAAGGTCAAATAGCCCCTTCATGTGGAAGTAAAATCTATGCGGAGGTGTCTCAGGAGAGTGCTACATCACCCTGGGGGACTTGTTTCTTTTTCTTTTCTTAATCAAACAAGACTGGCTACTGGTCTTTTTCTTCTGTCTCAGCAGGAGCAATGACTTGTTATCTTATCTTAACCAAATGGGATGGTTATTTGGTCTTTTCTTGGGCCTCACCAGGAGCAAAGGGGAGCCAGATGTGGAAAGGGGCTGGAGCCAGGGAGTCTCTATCTGCCTCACCTTTTCCATAGGATTGTCAGCGCAAGGTTTAAAAAAAAAAAAAAAAAGTTAAAAAAAAATAGAGAGGTCCTCAACTCGGAACCCACGCCAAGTGTGAGAAGGTGCAAGTTCCCTCTGATGAAGTTTAGAATATAAGTGAGGCTTGGTGGGGTGAGGTCTGGAGCGGAGGACCAAGAAAGAATTCTTGAAACATCTTTGGTGCAAAATTCTGGTTTACTAAAGCTTGAGGACAGGATTCCTGGGCAGAAAGAGCTGCTGCGCCAGGGTTTTGAGGGTGTTGGGTCCATGGTCAAAGGAACGAGACTGATATAAAGTGAATGTCAAGCAAAGCTTTATTATGTGCCAAGCATTAATAATCAAAGCCACCATTCGGGGCCACCTCTTACAGAGAGGGCAACCCCTCCCATCCTCACAGATTAGCTTTTATAGAGCAAAGGCCATGTGGTTGAGCCTGGCCACACACAGGTGGCCAAAGAGATTGCAACACAAAGAGAAAGCTGCACAGTCATGCTAGGTCACACACGGGTGCCAATTGAATTACAATTTACCCCATAGTAGCTATTTGAACTAGCCTATCACCTTGGTCAGAATTGACGCCCAAAAGGCGTCCAAAAGGTGGGGCCCACACTCCTTGGTATCTAGGGAGACAGTATGCGCCCCCACTCATTGGATGTCTCCACCTGGCCTGACTCTTCCCTGCATTCGGGCTCTGTTGCCTCCACCTGAGCTGACCTGCCCTTATATTTTGGCTCTGTTATCAGGGACTGGTCGGCCATATTTTACTGGTTTCCTGGACTTGCTTTTAAGTAAGTTCCCCTGGGGGTGGGGGGCAGGGTCAGTTTAAGTTTCACTGCATAAACAACAAAATCACTGTTTAACTGGATGGAATCGCTCTGGCTAAACAGGCCCTTACAAGGGCCGGCAGGTTTTGTATGATGGGGTTGGGGGAGGTTAGGGAAAAAGGAGGTTTCGATAGAATTTTCATATGCTAAAGAAGACCTACAGGATACTGGACACCAGAGGCCTTGCCAGTGTCAAGGTCATTTTTTCCCTTCTTAGCAAGGGGACTAACATTAATCTTAATTAACATTAAGATAGTTGGGAGATTCCCAAAGAATGTCACAAATGTCCCACCCAGGAGTGGGGGTGGGAGAAGGTTGCAGAGTGTCAGCTTTTGCTTTGTCCTCAGCCAGCCTTCTGTTCTCTCCTCACCTCTAAGTTATACTTAGACACACTCACTGACACCACATACATAGTAAACAAAGGTTCTAAATGATGTGGGAGACAAAGGTAGAAGAAAATTTTTTTTAATTTCCTTACTGCCTACAGCCCATTGACAAGTCATTGAAACAGGCAGAGTGCCATTCCTCCAGGAACTCAGCTGCCTCCATGTTAAAACTTTGCTGAGGACAAAGCCAATCTTAGCCCGACCCCCAGATCCTGTAAGTCTATGTTAACATATAAAAATTCTTTTGGAAATTTCCTTTATCTCTACCCCCACCCCCAAGATGCATGCTGGCAATCACCTCCCAAGCATACGGCCCACACGATACATCTGAAAGGTCTCAGGACCAAGGTTTGACCAGATAGTAAAACACGACCTTTTCCTAACAACAGCTAGTCCCCTCCAGGTCCTGGAAACCTTGCTTCCAAATTCCCTAGGGACTTACCCTATCCCTGACTCCCTCCCAACTTAAAAAGTATATAATGGGTCACTCCTCAGGACCCCAGTGCAGCTCTTTCTGCCCATGGGCCCTGTTCCTGTGCTTTGATAAAACCACCTTTTTTGTGCATAAGACGTCTCAAGAGTTCTTTCTTGGCTGTCGGCTTCGGACCCTAATTCTTTCCTACAGCACTAAATCCATCTTTGTGGTGCTCATGACTTATGGCATGTTGCCCAGTATAGTCTGTGGCCCTTCCTTCACAAGATGAGTAATATCAAAGAATATAGGTGTTAAAAAGAAAAACCAGGGGCGCCTGGGTGGCTCAGTGGGTTAAGCCGCTGCCTTCGGCTCGGGTCATGATCCCAGGGTCCTGGGATCGAGCCCCGCATAGGGCTCTCTGCACAGCGGGGAGCCTGCTTCCCTTCCTCTCTCTCTGCCTGCCTCTCTGCCTACTTGTGATCTCTCTGTCAAATAAATAAATAAAATCTTAAAAAAGAAAGAAAGAAAAAGAAAAACCACATATCCATAATGGAGCCACTTAAGGCCCCAATCAGTAAACCAAGATTTAATAACTAACCTAACTGCAGTTTCAACCCCCTCAGGAATGGACCTTTAACCAGCCAAGCTGGAATTTCCCAGAGGCAGTCTCCTAAAAGGCCCCACCCCCCTTAGGAGGGCAACCTTGCCTAAACACTGGATTCCTTGCTAATAAATGCTTTTTTTTTTTTTTAATGCCTTTTCCCAGCCTTTAAAAAACCTTTCCTTTCCTGCAGCTCTGCAGAGCTTCCCTCTGCTTACTGGATAGAATGCTGTTTAGTGCAAGAATCATTTAACAAAGACAATTAGATCTTCAATTTTACTTGGTTGATTTTTTTTTTTTTTAACCACAGGTCAATTTTTTATTTTTACCATCATCATCATTTGAGGTTAAGTTTAAAAGTGTCCCAGGAATGTTTAGACTGGTTTGTTTGTTTTTGTTGTTTATGTGGAGGAATATACAGTTAATGTTTAAAAGGAATGTGTTTAACCCTGTATATGTCTCCGGCTGTTCTGGCCTAGTCACAAAAACTGGGCAGAATTAATTGTCCTTAAACACATACACAGATACTCATACACACAAACATGTGCATGCCTGCACATAAATCCTCTTTTCTTGCTCTCTGGCATTCTTCAGGGCATATATCTTTTTCCTGAAAAATTAGACTGTCTGAATTTCAGAGCTGAGACAAACTTGAGAATCATGTGGTTAGCCCTTCATGTTCCGATGAGGCAAATGAGACCAGCGAGTCTCAGGAGCTGCTCAAAGTCACACAGCAGTATCAGCAGGGAGAGAATCAGAGGCTGGAGGTAGATCCAGGGCTCTGGCTCACAGCCTTTAGCCCTTTCAAGTGGCCCCCACTTGTTCTGCCTGGAGCTGGGGTCAGCTCTTGAGGTCAGCACAGCCAGCAGCTCTGCTGACTGAGCCGCTGGCAGAGTTTGGGTGCAGGAAGCGGGTGGCAGGGCCCTGCTGTGTGTCTGCAGCACAGAAGTAGGTGGCTGAGTCTGCAGGCTGGGACTTCGTGATATAAAAGGAACTCTGCTGGATGGTCTTATCAAAGGTGGCCCTCAGTCTTCCTGTCTGTTTTTCAACCTCATTTTCACGTATTAGTAGCAAGAAGACAAGGCCTCTTCCCAGATCTTGTCGATACCACTGGAAGACCACTGGAGAATAATTCGTGTAGTTACAGGTCAGCACGGCCTTCTCACCCTCCTGGATGCTCAGGGACTGCGGATTCTGTTCCATCTTTTGGCTGCTTACCCCTAGGCAGAAACACAATACCAGAAACAAGAGGTTTAGTCACTACACTGACACTCATAAGAGTCTTTTTTGGGGGGCAACTGGGTGGCTCAGTCGGTTGAACAGCCGACTCTTGATTTCAGCTGTGGTCATAATCTCAGGGTCCTGGGATCAGGCTCTGCACTCAGCTCAGTGCTCAGCAGGGAGTCTGCTTTAGGATTCTCTCTTCCTCTCCCTCTGCCCCACCCCTGGATCACTCACATATGCACACATGCTCTCTCTCTCTCTAAAATAAATAAATCTTTTTTTTCTTTTTAAAGGTTTTATGCATTTGTTTGACAGAAAGAGACATAGCAAGAGAGAGAACACAAGCAGGGGGAGTGGGAGAGGGAGAATCAGGCTCCCGCCAAGCAGGGAGCCTGATGGGGGCTCTATCCCACAGGACCTGATAAAAGGCAGACGCTAAATGACTGAGCCACCCAGGCACCCTTAAAATAAATAAATTTTTTTAAAAGAGTGTCATATTTCCTTTCCACCACCCCAGATATAACTAAAGAAGCAGCAGAATGGATCTTGGGCCTTCCCATCTCCATCCTGGGAGCTGGGTGCCTGGATCTCTTAGCCCTCATCACCAGGAAGCCTCCAACTCACAATCCACTGGAAACCACAAAATCACCAGAATAACTCTCAGGAACAGCTTCATTCTTCTCCCCAGCTGTGGCCTGGCATGTGGACTCACTCTCCTCAAACAAAAAGCCATTCCCTTTAGTCTGGTGGGTGTCACTAGAGTTCATCTGTGGGAGGAAGCTTCTGCTTCCTACCCAATCAGTGACAAGCTTGTACAGCCCTCTACAGACACTCACTGACCTCATCCAGCTTTAGAGTGAATGCGGTTCAAATCTGAGGGAGGAGCCAAATAGATAGGAAACAGCGCCATCTTGAGTTCAGAAGGTTTTTACAATAACGAAGTGTGTTGAAGACCAGCGCTTCTCACTGTGCATACAAATTACCTAGGGATTTTGCTAAAATACAGATTCTTTTTCATTATGTCAAGGATCAACATTATCACTATCCTGTTCCTTACAACATCCTTCTAGCCAGACTAAGAATCAAATCGTCATGAGACAGATTAATAAGAGAAAATTAAATCTGATACGCTTACAGGGAATCCACACAGACATGGGAATTTCAAAGGCAAAATGAGGTTTCTACATCATTCTGAACTAAGGAGAAGGGGTTAGGGGTCTGGGACTTCAAAGGGAAGGAAGTAATTCACAAGAAGATGTAAAAGTAAATATTTGCTAAGCAAATGTTTGCTGGAGGACTCAGACAATGGGACATAGAAGACTTTGATCAGACAGGCTTTGTTAAGTTCCTCCCTGTCTACCATACTTAATTCATAGTATAATGTAGTTATTTACAGTGATAGCTGTCTTCCTGGAGCAGATACCCTATCTCAATTCTTTTTAGGCTTGGGGGGGGGTAGTTGTGTGGATAAGAGCTTTTCCTGAATCTGCTGGATTTTGATTGTCTTTTAACTGAAAATAACCTTCATGCCAAAGTGGCCCATTTTGGGGCTGCCAGTCTGTGGCCCCCACAGTTGGGTCTCCAGACTATAGACTGGATAGTCTATATTTCTAACAAGATTCCTGGCAATGCTGATGCCTCTACTTGAAGTAGCAGGACTGTATGAATGCTCATCTCGGTCCAGAAAAGGGAATTTGCAATATTAAGGTTTGATACAGGACAAATGATCACGTTTCCAAAGGGCTCAGTTCCACCACCCTCACTATTCTTTTTCTACAACAGCCAGAGGATGTCACCAGCTGTCGACAATGTAAAGCACAGGAGAGCACATGCCTGAATTCTAGGGAATGTGCTCAGATCCAGGGAGTGAGCCTCCTCTCTTCACTCCTCCTGGCCTTCCCACAGGCAGGAAAACTATGGCTTTTGTAAGGGCCTATTCAGCCAGAGCAGCCCCACTCTGGTTGAACTGCCATTTTGTTGTAAAACTTAAATTGACTCTGCTCCCCGCCCCCCAGATGAACTTACTTAAGAACAAGTCCCGGAAACCAGTCCCAGGTAACAAAGTCCAAATACAAGCGTGGGTCAGGCCAGGTGGAGGTATTCAATCAGTGGGGGTGCAGACTGTCTCCTAGCTACTCCTAGGGAGTATGGGCCCCGCCCTTTGGGCACCTTTTGGCGCCAATCCTAACCAAGGTGATAGGCTGGTTCAAATGTCTACTAGGGTAAATTGTAATTTAATTGGTCACCTACCATGACTGTGCAGCTTTCTCTGTGTGTTACAATTTCATTGGCCACCTGTGTGTGGCCACCTGTGTGTGGCCAGGCCCAACCACATGGCCTTTGTTCTATAAAAGCTACTCTGTGAAACAGAGAGGGGTCGCCCTCTCTTGTAAGAGGTGCATCCCTGAACATCCGGTTTGATTCTTGATGCTTGGCGCAAAATAAAGCTTTGCTTGACCTTTGCTTTGTATCAGTCTCGCTCCTTTAATCACGGACCCATTATTGGGAGACCCATTATTGGAGGCTCATCTGGGATTAAATGATGAGAACTGAGCCAGCATCAGACTTTCTGGGAAAAGCCTCCGGAGGTAAGATCTTGGGATTCTGTCTGTCTGGCTGGCTGTGGAGCTCCAGGTATGGCCCACCAGGGAGAAGCTGGATGCAGCCATGCTCCCCAGGGCTGGAGTGGAGGTGGGGATGCCCCATCCCTCTTCTGGTAGATCATCTAGGGGTCTGAGTCCCCCTAGGCGGTCAGGGGGCCAAGAAAACCCCCACCAGTGTCAGGCTCTGGGTGAGGGCCACTGGGTCTGGGTCTGGGTGGCTGTCTGTAGGGGACTGAGAAAATCCCCACTGGTGAGCATCTGTAGGGGGCCGAGAAAACCCCCACCAGTGGGGAGTTGCAAGAGACCGAGAAAATCTTTACCGGCTGCTGGGTCTGGTTCTGTCTGTCTGGTTGCAGAGCTCCAGGTATGGCCCACCGGGGAGAAGCTGGAAAAAAGGAAAGACACTGGTATAAAAAAGCTGTTTTTCTCTCTGTTTAAAAGGGCAAAGTTTTCTTAGTTAATTGATCTGTTAAAAAAAAAAAAAATGTAAATGGTTTTCTCTTTTTCTGCCCAGAGTTGTAAATGAGATCTCTTTGACTCATAAGGCTTTTCCTTGATATGCTAAGTTACTCAGGGAGTACTGCTAAACCAATGATAAACCTTAGGTTACATTTGGGTAAATGTTAACTACTCTAGAGGTTCTATACATTTCCTAAAGCTTTAATGTTGTGATAAGGGTCATCACTTGATATTTAACCATATCTATTCTGAGTTTTTGTCATTCGTAATTGTTTTAATTTTCTTATAAGATGGATTCCACCCTAAAGGAAATTCATATGGGAGACTTTCAGGACAAATACAGGTCTTTGATATGTTAAAATCCTGGAACTGAAATGGGTAAGAATTTCCAGAAGTAAAAGCTGCATTCGGACTAAACCAGAATTAGTAACATGGGACTAGATTAACTGAAAGGTTGTAATGTGCCTCTTAATGTTTTAAACATGACTGGTTCTGTAATGTTTGCCCCTCCAGACTAGGGAAACCTTTTCTTAAGTTATCTGTAACTTACAGAGATGCAAAAGTATTCATTTGTAAATGAATCAAGGCATTCAACTTTTCTCTCTATCTGAACCCTCTGAAACCAAAAGGTCTTAGTAAGTATTCTTTCTTCCATGGCAATCAGTCATTTGCATAAGTTCAATAAGAATCTGTTCTCCTTGTAATAGGACACCATTGGAAACTCTGGTTATTTTACCAAGGCTTTGACTAGAATGTCATATTTGAAAAGACTCAGATATGACGAGACAGTTTAAATGAACTAAGGTTGACTTTATGAAACCTGGAGCCATAAAGCCCTTTGGAACTGTTGGCCTGATACCTTGCTTACAGAGTTCCCAGCAGCCTCACCAGGTGAGTAAAGAATGTCAGGAAGAGGAATTCACCCAATCTGACAGGTATTGCAGGCATGTCTGATGGCAACTATGTGGCTTGGCTTCTGGCCCGGAGAGGCTACTAAAAGTTCAACCTAGAGATTCCATATAAGAAGTTCCAGCAAAGCAGATTCTAAAAGATCTATATGATCACTCACTGTTCTTGCTGAGCTTATGTAAATAATTAGGCCAAGTTTGTTAAAACTGGACTTGTTTTTCAAATGAATTAGTCCTGATTTGACTATCTCTGGAAATGAGGGTTATTTTAGAAAGAAAAATTATGTTTTAATAACACACCTTTATGGATGTTAAATTCTAGATTTGGTTGTCTTTAAATGTTTGTTTACCTAAGCTAGATAACTTGAGGTAAACTTAAGAGAAGTTGTACAATGGCTCATTTAGACGATCTTGCCTTTGCCAATCAGTCAGCCCCAGATATAAGGAGGAAACTTCAGAAAATTGAAGAATTTGAAAGGAAGAATCTGACTGAGTTAGTGGGAATAGTGGAAATAGCCGCTGAGGACTATGGGTCATGCTTGCGGGGGACGAGAGCTCTCTTAACAGACTCTGCAGGAAAAGGGTATCGGGTGTCAGCAATGAAAGCACAGCGTTGTCAGAGCCATGCCACTTATTTAGGCTTTGATCTCCATGAGGGAGTTTCTTGGGACGGTGGGCTACCATAGGCTGTGGATACCGTGGTTCACGGAGATGGCACAACCTCTCTACGAATTGACTAAGGGAGGACTCACTATGGTAGAGTGGACAGCTGAGGCAGAAGGAGCATTTCGGGAATGACAAACAGCCTTACTGAGTGCCCCAGCATTGGCCATCCCAGATGTTACCAAGCCCTTCCACTTGTATGTGGACGAAAAGGCAGGGGTGGCCAAGGGAGTTTTGACTCAGACTCTGGGGCCTTGGCAAAGGCCAGTAGCCTATCTTAGCAAAAAGCTAGATCCAGTAGCAGCTGGGTTCCCCCCTTGCCTCTGCATAATTGCTGCCACAGCCCTCCTGGTCAAGGATGCGAGTAAATTGACTTTGGGTCAAAATCTCATCTTGACCACCACCCATGCTATCGAGGGCCTTCTCCGGACTCCATCAGACTGGTGGATTACAAATGCCCGAGTGACAGGGTATCAGGCCCTCCTCCTCAATGAACCAAAAGTGACTTTCCGGCCCCTGGTGGTGCTAAATCCAGCCACGTTGCTGCCAGAGGAGCTGGCTGAGCACCCACATGACTGCAGGGAGGTCCTAACCCAGGTGGCAGGAATAAGGCCGGATCTTAGAGACACTCCCCTCCCGGATGCGGAGATGACTCTGTTCACAGATGGGAGTAGCTACATGGTTGATGGAAAGAGGTATGTGGGGGCTGCGGTGGTTTCTCCTGAGCAGGAACTCCAGATGACAGCCCTGCCACACAGAACCTTGATGCAAAAAGCAGAGCTGATTGCACTCACCAAGACGCTACAGATGGCCAAAGGTAAGACCACCAACATCTATATGGACAGTAGGCTGGGTAGAGGCTTTTTCTGCCAAACATGAGATGGCAGGAATGGTAGCCAAAAAGCTACTAGAGGCTTGGGTTACCTCTTGCAATTGGGTCACACAATGGCCCTGCATTTGTGAGTTCAGTCTCACAGGCATTGGCCAAGGCCGTGGGCACTAATTGAAAACTACATTGTGCCTACCGGCCCCAGAGTTCTGGG